CCACTATTGATCTCACCTGATACCCCTTCATAGCAAATTACTAAAATACCCCTCCCTCCATATTATCCTTAAACTAGATTACCCAATTTACTCCTTCCTCTAAATTATCAAAATATCCCTTAGACCAAACTCCCAACATATCCCCATTCCAAATTACCAAAATACCCCTCCTTCCATATTACCTTTATACCAAATCGCCTAATTTTCCCTTGGCCAAGTCACCAAAATACCACTTATTTTGATTTTCCCAAATTCATTCCCTAAACCCTAAAATCCCCTTTTCCCAAATTACCAAAATACCCCTTCCTCCAAACTCCTAGAATATTCCCTATTCCAAATTACCAAAATACCCTTAACCAAATTACCAAAACACCCCTCCTTCCAAATTTTCTAAAATACCCATCATGTTAAATAACCAAAATACCCTTCATTCCTCAAAATACCTATTACCAAAATACCATTCATACCTAAAATTACCAAAATGCCCTTCATTCCTTAAGTTAATTGAATGCCCCTCTAAGCCTACCCATTCCTTAAGTTACTGAACACTCCTATCCCTTTAAGACCTAACTTGATAAAACCCCTCTTCCATCTTGAGAGTTGATAGAACCCCCTCCCTCCTATTATAAATAGAAGGCTCCATTCCCAAGACAAGAGCTCGGATGAGAGAATTTTGAAGAGGTGGAGGTCAAAGTTGAGGTTGGATAAGAGGAGAGGGTCCTAAGGGGGTCAAGTGGGATCTGTAAGGAAACCCCCTTGTATTTGATTGGTGAGAGAAGGTTTTAAAGAGAGAAGAGGATTAAGAAGAGAAGGGTTCAACGGAGAAGACTAAGAGAGAGAGAGAGAGAGAGAGATTCCTGGTTCGATTTGAAGAAGAAAGAGAGAGGGGTTCTCTCAATCTCGGGTAGGGAAAGGTTTTTGAGGAGAGACCGAGGGAGGAAGAATATGAAAAGAGGTGAACACGAGAAATAGGGTTCCTTGGTAAGTGGGTGAGTTCTCAAACTGGAGAAAATGGCCTCTCGAAGAGCTTTAAGAGGCACGAGAGGGCTTTGAGAGAGAAAAATAGAGAGGCAAGAGAGGGTTTGAGAGTGAGAGGTTTCATTCGAAGAGAAAGGGAGAACTGAAGCTGGTTTGAACAAGAAGAGGTCATTCTTCAAAAGTTTGGTTCTTCCATCTTCCTGTTAAACCCAGGGAGCGTCTTGGCATTCGAATCTTTTAGTAGGAGGATTTCTCTTTCTCTGTCTTCTGTGGGATACATCCTAACATCCACACCTTGGTCTTCACCAGTTTCCTGTTCGAAGTAAAGAAAAATGCCTCTGTCTAAAATTCATTTTCCAAGGAGATTAAACCTTCAAGACCTCTTGTAGCATCGTTGATCCTCACAAAGGCCACAAGAGGTGAAATTGGATTGCCTTACATTCCATATTTTGGTTTACTGGCTTGATTATTGTTTTGGTCTTATTCTCTAATTTTATTTCTAATTTTTAGATTGATAATTCAATCTTTCTTTTCTATTGTGTGTTTAAAATCGAATGTTAGTATCATAGTTTTCTCAGGCATTTGAGATGCTCAGGTTTCTTCCCTAATCTTCAGACCAGCCATCTGAGTTCGAAGGTGGGGGCTTAGATAAAAAAGGGGTGAGGGAGTCATCTCTCGTCCTTTTGCTTAGGCTCCTACATTTAAAAGTGGGATGGTCAAGAAGTGGAGGTAGAAGCATTTCTGTTCCTTTCAAGTGGCTAGAGGACTTGGGTTTTCGATTCAAATTCAATTTATAGAGGGAAATCCAGTATTCACATTAACAAGAGAGAGGGGTGCCTAACCCCTTCCCTCTCTCTCTCTCTCTCTCTCAACTTACCCAGATTTTTTTGCCTTTCCAAGTTGAATGGTGTGGAGTCACTATTAGTTTCAAATTTATTTATGAAATATAATTTAGGGAGGTCCATCACTCCCGATTATCAATTTTCATGGGTGGTGACTCCTTTGATTGGCCATGAAGTGACTTGTCAGGTTATTTTTGACGTTCACACCATCCATTAAAGCCGACTCGATCTAGCTCGTGCAGCATTGTGACCAATGCTAGCATCACACCAACATACCACGCCAGCCCACCGCCAACCTATAGTACCTTACTAGCTCGTGTCCTTTTGTTCAGTGGGGGATAGACATCCTTTGTCCCTTCCCACTAGCAACCGGGCAAAGGAGGTTAATGGTCATGGCTGTTGACCACTTCACTAAGTGGGGTGAAGCCAAGTTACTAGCAACCATTACAACTCAAAATGTATAGAATTTCTTTTGGAAGTGCTAGCCAAAGGACATCCTTTGCTATCAACTTCATCAAACCAAACTCTAACCTGGTCTTAGGTTACTAATGGGAGGTAAAAGCCTCTTTATGAGAACCTTCCCAGTATTGCACCGAGGATCCCTCCTCGGCACAGACGACCTACAGCCTCTCTTCCTCTGAATCGGTACCCAACATTGTTAAAGAAGGAAAGGAAAAAGAAGGGAAGAACAAAGACTTGCTTGAAGACGCTAAGGAACAGACGGATTGACCTTGCCAAACCCATTGATCGTGTCGAGCTCTTCGATCTCACCACCGCACAACTCTCCCTAAGGACAAGAGAAATGAACTCTCTAGGCTCCACTATTTATAGGTGGAAGACTCGGTTCAACAACGACCATGATCAACCTAATCGGATGGTTCCGAAGGGTGCGACAGTTCGACTCCCAAGGCACCAAGACTAGTTTAGCACATTTTTTATGTCTGTGATAGCTAAATTTCGCATCGCATCCGCTCGAACCTACCACACGACTTGTCGGAGGACATCAACCATCCAAACCAGATCGGTACCAACTTGTAACCTGGTCAAACCGCCCTTAGCTCACTTAAATAGCCGAATGAGAATGATCTACTTCCTTTGCTTGAGTCATTCACTTCGGAATTGGAAGTGGGGAGCAATTGATGAGGGATAAAAGTGACTTGCCAATTATTCATTGCCTTGTGGACACCTAGAACCACCTTGACATCTTACGTGGTAGGACCTTGGAAGAATGCTCCTCAATAGATCGGCTTACTTTGCCCAAGTAACACCGGTCTCGCTTGAAAGGAGATTGGTAGCTAGACCTGGCTGAGAAGGAAAACAACAACCTCAGACTAATTATGCAACTTGGCAAGCTATCCAGCCTCAGAGAAATACCAAACCTAAAGTCCTATACAAGGGAAGCTCTTCGCCCTCTAACGGTACGCTTTCAATAGTTCTCACATTCTAGCTCTCACTTTGCTCTGATCTTTACGCTCAACTCTCTCTCTCTCTCCCTCCCTCTCTCTCTCTCAACTTGATTCTAACTTGACTTTCGGAGCTCCTTCGCCCGGGTCCACACCTCAGGCTCTTTGATGTATGTTTGCCTTGCAGACCCGACTTGCTAACCTACTCACCCATGTCTGAGTTGTTAGTCTAGTAGAAAAAGGTGCAGTTCGAGCAACATCACCTTTGTTAATTTGATGACAATAAGAATCTAATTAACAAAAGGGTAAATCTCTTAAACTACCCCTACTTCTCACGAAATTGACAAACTGTACCCTTACTGTTTAGATATTGTCTTGTGGTACCCTTATGTTTTCTGACAATTGTCCAAATCCTCCCCTGTCGTTAGTCGACCATCGGGTCCCATTTGCATGTGACACTACGTGAATGATAATGTTGACCATAATTCCTAAAATACCCTTTTATGGATAAAAATGCCCTTTTAGTTTATTAATTAATAGAAACTTATTATTAATAATTATATATTTTAATAAATATTTTTACGACCAAAATATTTATTTATCATTAGTTGACAATAATAAATAAATATTATTAATAATTATATATTTTAATAAATCATAATATTTATTAATTAATAGAAACTTATTTTATTGAATATTTTTAATATTCTTTTTATAATTTAAAATATTATTGAACATTCAATTTATAGAGCTAAAGATGTAAATTTCACAGTTTAAGATGAATTGCTCCAACTCAAATAACCTTGCCTTTTCATAACCTTTTAAAAGCAGAAAATCATTTAGGACTTGTTTGTTTGCTCTGATATCTGAAAGTGCAATAATTACATTAAGAGATAAATTGATCATGGTGAACCTTTCTTTCCTCTAAACTCTGAATGCAAAGAATGTTGTTAGCATTGTCAAATGTCCATTTTAACACATGATTGGGAACTTTTGTTTGTTTTTTGAGGAAATCATTAGAAAACAAAAAATCGCAAGATTCCACTTTAAGAGATAAGAGGCAACAAACACCCATTTTCCTTCTTAAAGTTACAAAATTCTTCTCAAGAGATAAGAATTAAAAGGAAACGAACAAACCCTCATACTGACCCATATAATGAAATAATAGATTTTTGACTTTTTAGACATCAACTTCAGGTTCATCAAACTCCTAAATAAAACCGGTCTGAAACATAATACCCTAATTTATTTCGGAAGTAGGTATATGGCATATACATTACACAAATGCCACAATGTGGTGGCCGGTGGGGTTTCATCGTGTCCTTTGATTAGAACGGAGTTAAACTTGAATAGAGACTGAACCGAGGTCAAGTCATCCAAACATAAACATGGTTTGCCTAAACGAGGGGTAAGCCATGAAAAAAATAGGGTCGGCACCTGGAAGAGGAAGCTGTTGGTTTCTTTTGGTCACCAAAAGCATGTTGACACGCGGACGATTGTAAGGATTGTTAGGATTATTCATGACCGATCAAGACCATCCATCAGATGGGAAACCCGATTCCGATTTAAGGCTGTATTTGATTTGAAGGAAATAAGTAGGGAAAGGAAGGAAAATGTTACAAACCTCGTATAGGTTTCCCTATCTTTCCCTTTTCCTGCCTTTTCCTTCAAACCAATCATAGCCTAAAAAGAGAGAATGAAAGAAAAATTGCAAAGTTGATGACCAGGCAGGCACCTCAAATAGTCGTATCGGCTCTGAACTCCCAAGGACAACATTGAAAGTTACAGGAGGAATATTTTCACTAAAATTGCTCTTAAAAACGGCATTTTAAGTAAGGATCAAAGTTCACTAATTTCAGGTACGTCACAAATCATTCCAAAGCACGGGAAAACAAAATAAAATGCAGGCATAGCATAGCACCACCACCCAAGGGATCACTACACAAGAATCAGGGTCTCAATAACCGGAAGGGGAAGAGCAGCTACAAAGTTAATGAAGAAACAAAAATCTTGAAAGCCGAGATGGGCTCACCCCCCCACCCCCCCAAAAGGTTTGCCTATTGTACAAATGAAACCTACCAATATTAACCTCTAACTAATTGTAAAGCAGACAGCCAAAGCGCAACATTTCAGTACAGAAGTACAACTGCCTCCCTACAACTTTACCAGGTGAGTCTGGCTAAGCTTTATCTTTCTCACCGATGATCGAAGGATTACGTCTTGCCCAGCCTAATACCCATAGTTGGTGCCATAGACTGAACCATAACCTGCAGCAGTCTGCCCTGCAGGCCCTGTATTATTGGATGGGGGAGATGCATACATGGAACCATGGGGTGGATATGAATTATAACCTTGGTCAGTTGTGCCGCCAACTGGAGTTCTGTGTAGGACCTGCAGCTTCAGCCATGAAATTCTGCAATACACGCAAATTGTTTATCAGCAGGTAATTAATCCAATTACCTAAATATACTAACGTCATAAAATGTATATGTACTGCAATCAACAGCAGTTGTGCACAAAGGGCAAAACATTGACAAAGTCTAGGTGCAAAACAAACAGTAATAAGACAATTTTCATAATTTTCAAAATTAATCAAACAGCAATGTCTCCAAAATTGAAGCTAAAAAATGAAAAATGCCACTCAAACTCGCATTGGATCGGTAGGAACAAAAGAACATGAAAAATCAAAATTCAGAATATACTTGAAAGGATGTCTCAAAACATAATACATGCCTGTATCAACTGTTGTGCTGCCTGTACTTGAGAAGCAGATCCATTAATCTCTACGGTCATTTCCCCAGGCACACCCCTTGTTTCCTGTATTGTAATGGTTGCCCCACTGGCACGTCGTATATAGCTTATACTTGCACCAGCTGTCCCAATCACTGCATCAGCATAGGATAGTGGAATTTGCATGTGTTGTGTGACCTGCAAGCATAAAACCAAACCTTCAGTGGCAAACTACAGTGGAGGCTAGATTCAGTATGGCAGGGATCAATGGTGAAATGTCCAATTGAAATGAGAAAGGAAGTTGGATGGAGGCTAGATTCCCACCAACAGGAAGTTGGATTTTGCATTGCAGTGTTCAAATTTTCCTTAGAGAAAATTCTGGGCCTGCTTTGGATGGTTTCTAGAGATAGCACTAATAGAACACCCGATGATAATTATCTTCCCATTTCTTTTCTTTTTATAAGTTTAATCTTACAAATAAAAAAGCAAGAAGAGATTACCTGTGTAATGACTGGTGCTTGCTGCGGCACATTAGATGAAGAATGGACACCCATTGGAGCCTCTCTACCATATGCTGATAAAGCCTGATGTGGTTGTTTGTCCAAAGGAGGCAGGTCAGATGAAGGATAATAATTTTCATGTTGTCGTGGTGGTGTTATGTAGTCCTTGTGGAGGGGGACCCCAAGACTGATGAGGTGGCATGTTCTGTTCCATCTGGGGATTTGGCATTTGCAACTGCCAGGAGAAAGGTCCAACAGTTCACTAAAACAAAATAATTTCATTTGATTGCATGTCCATATCACATAAAATCCAGTAAACAAAACAGAATGACTTTGGAGTGCTACTATTCAAAAGGATGATAACAACAGACTTACATGCATTTCAAAAAGGGGAATTACACTACGATCGACCAAAAATTTCCTGAGATGAGAAGCAATTAGCTCAACAGCCTCTGCCGGCTCCCCCTGTATCTCAACAACTCTGTCATCTTGTAGTGCAAAAATTGGTAGATCTTCTGCAGATATTTCATGAAAACAAGTACAAAAGAAGTTAGATGCAATCTGATGAGATTTTAAGAAACACATTTTCCTACATCCATGCAGAACTCAATAAATGGGATAACGGATCCATGCAACAAACCATGGGGCCCATTGGAAAACATTTTTGGGGTAAAACCTTGAATAGACAAAGGCATTGCGATCCATTTCCCCCTATTGTGGAACACCAAGGAGTATTTCATTGTATTTTCAACTGGATGTTGATCTCCTTTTTGCAATTGCAAACCAGTTTTTGCAGGAAGAGGATTTTTTTTCCAATTCATCAAAAAAGGGAGGATTTTTTTCCATTGCTGCTATTTGAAATTTGAGCATCTGAGTGGAAATAAAAAGATCCCCCTGAAGGTAACAAATTTTTCCAATCATAGTACCATGATCAATGGTTATTAGGATTGCTGCTGTGGTCTTAATCTCTAAGGACATCAAAAGCATTAGCACGATGGGTATCTTTTTTTGGAGCTTCGTACTCAGCAGTGAGCTGGGGCAATCATGGGCTGGTTTGGACCAATGGGCCCTGATGATGCACAATCCGGCCGATCTTAGCTGTCAACGATCTTGCCTCTGAATTGAGTGGCAGGGACCTGAAACGGAAGGAGAAGAGAAGCTCCGGGGAGAACCCGGCGTAAGGGCTCCAAAGCTCAAGTTAGAGTCTTTCAAAGGCAAGATAGACCAGATAGCGCAAAAGTTAGCATACCTCATTCCTGGGGGGTAGGAGCCTTTTATAACCACCTCGCGCACTCACTTCCAGGCTTCCGTCAGATCGGGCATGATTACTTCTGAACCCTTGCCAGTTCGGATGACATTTCCTCTGGCCGGACAGAACCGCCACTGCTCCTTTTGTCGGAGCCGTCTCTGCGGCTAGTAACGACGGTTGCAGGTGGCGGTAGCAAGAGGCCGTTTGAAGTGCGGCTGTCAGGCGTCAGATCCCAAATCAGTCAGGTGCGTCGCCCTTGGATACGGATGTCCTTGGTGTCAGGTACGTTTCCTGGTGTTTAGGAAGCGAAGTGTTGGAGTGGCGAGCAAGGTGTCTTGAGTTCGGTTTGGGGAGTGTTCCGAGCTGCCATGGGCCAGCTCGGGTCACAGCTTTGTGAGGCTTTGGGCCCAGTATAGTTCGTGCTCCTTGTAGGGAGCTCGGGTTCTCAGTAGGGAGCTCGCTCTTAATAGGGAGCTCGGACTCTCAGTAGAGAGCTCGCTCTTAATAGGGAGCTCGGGCTCCCAGTAGGGAGCTCGGACCCTTAATAGGGAGCTCGCTCTTAATAGGGAGCTCGCTCTTAATAGGGAGCTCGCTCTTAATAGGGAGCTCGGACTCCTAGTAGGGAGCTCGGACTCTTGGTAGGGAGCTCGGACTCCTAGTAGAGCGGTCTGGAGTTCGGGCTCGGTAGTGAGCTTGGACTTGCTTCCGATGTTCGCTT